CTTTATTTTCTGAAATGCATATTTGTATTGTATACGAATTCGAATTGTCTTTATTGATTACCAACAAAACATGGAATGAAATATATCTTTGTTCTTGTATTATGCATTGGAAAATTACAAATCTTGTGCGGCTTTATATTTTTGTTAAACAATTCAGAATTTTGATTCGTTAAACCGGAGTGAATCCATGACTTTTGAATATGAATTCATTTCAGTATGTGGATGTTCATACATACATATGTATGTTCATGAACATATGAATTCTAACCCACATTCATACCCACTTACAGGTATTTGTGCTTGTGTATGAAGTCATTACACATGTAGTGTACGACCACATACCCAAATATATGGTAGCAATGTTGGAAGAATGCTGAACGACTGGCGAGTGCATGCCACAGTGATGCAGGGTGCAAGTTTGTAATTCACTTTCACTTGCACTTCGTTCTCAGCGAAACCTTTCAACTCAATCCAACAAATCAAGCGAACGACACACTAGAAGAACAAACAACTGAAAATTGTAGTATTTAACAGAGTTGCCAGATTTTTTGTTTAAAAAAATTGCTCCAAACATGTATTATGTTTGAACTTGTTATTCCGAGGGGACAGATTTATGATTAGTTATCAAATTGTATGTGTAAACATAGGGCTGCAAATACTCTGAGCTAAACTTCTTTAGTAACCGTCTATGTATCAATGTATAAAATACGCAAACAATATCATATAAGGTCCACATTCCTTATATGCCAGTTGACAAAACCTCCTCCAATTGGTCGGATTAGACCTAATCGGTAACAATAGTATAAGCACGTCTAAACCCAAAACACGTATACACATACACAAGCACACCCCCATATCAGAAATATTGTTATATGTGTAAAAAACGTGTTCATGAAAATGTCGACGAACACAACTACAGACAACAACAAAAACACCTGCAAAACAACAACAATCAAAGTGAATGTGTTTGCCGTTAGTGATGATGGATTCAGTTTTATTTGAATTTAGCATTTTGTTGTTGTTGTTGTAGTTTTTAGGGGGGTTTTGTTTTAGTTTTCTGACATTGCTCTGGTTAGTTGTTGGTGTTGATGCCTGATTGTTGACACACACAAACACCCACATGCAGAGGCATAAACACTCAGATATGCACATACACAAAATAATGAAATCAACAACAGCAACAACAAGCACTACAAAAACCTCATCATCACAAAGGACAGGATGTCTCATGAGCACCTTTAATAGCCCACAAATACTCTTAAATATAATTTTGCATATCACTTGCGAGTTTGTGTAGAACATACACACGCACACATAAGCAAACACTCACACACCGCACCTACATTATCACCAAATGTATCTGCAGACGTTGGATTATAAACAAGATGATAATGGATCACAAACTTTGGAAATGTTTGAAACACTCTCTGATATATTTATTTAGTATAATTTAAAACGCTACACACTTAAGATTAGGATGATTTTCTTCAAATACAGGACTACGACATGAGCGCTTAATATCAAAATTAAGATTCATCTTTGTTGATTTAATCAAATGATATTTAATATAAAATCGATCGATTTCAAATTTTACCAACCAGTAAAACATCAAACAGAAAGCTTCAATGCTGCAGGCACATCCTCCTGTAGAGATGGTGACAGATACAGATAGCGTTTGAGGATCTATAAGGAGCATATTGCAAAGTTTCTGGTATCAAATAGTAACGGTGAAAAAGATATCCAGAACAAATTCATTTCTTATTGGTTCTGGGGTATAGATGAAGTCAGAATAGCAATTGATCGGGTGAAGAAGAATAAAGCAACAGGTACCGATGGATTACCGGACGAACTATTCAATACCGGTGGTCAGTCACTGATCAGGAGCATGCACCAACTGATTAGTACAACTGGGCAGCATCCTATGCCACGTGCAAAAGAGGAAGACAAGAGGAATTAGTCTCCTTCCCATCGCATATAAAGTGCTATCCAGCGTACTGTGTGAACGATTGAAGCCAATGGCCACTATTATTGGATCTTATCAATGCGGCTTCAGCCCTGGCTAATCTACACCAAATCCTGGAAAAGACACTAAAAATACATCGACACATTCCACCTATTCGTCGACTATAAAACCGCATTCGACAGCGCAATCCGCGTTCGGCATTCCTGCAAAATTAATACGACTATGCAGTATAATTTAAATGGCACAAGGTCAGCAGTTAAAGTCGGAAAGGAGGAGCGCTTCAATGCCGTCAGTTTGTGGTGTGACCTTTTTAACATCCTGTCATACGAGATGCAAATTTGAACGGAAATGACACTCTGTACACCAAAGAGCATATCGACGCCTCTGAACTATAGTATGCTAAGTCGACTTAGCATGTTTTAAAGTTCTTTACGTTTTTAGATACTACGGTCCTTAATTTAAATTCTCTGAAATTTTGGTAATCATCGGCCAATCCAAACCAAAGTTATAAGCAAAAATGTGCTTAGCATGGCACGTAAGATTAAAGAAAGTTCCATACTTTGAAAGCTTCTACTGAAAAACTCACTTTTCAGATTTAGCATACTATTCTTCGGAGGCGTCGATATGTTACTAGCAATACTCAGCAATTCAAAAACAAGGTCGCCTCTCGCCAGTCCAAACCCACCCACCCACAAGACGCTGATACTACCCGTGCTGGTGTATGGATCTGAATCATGGGTACTTGCGCAAGCAGATGAGACAGCTCTTAGAGCGTTTGAGAGCAAAATTCTCCGAAAGATCTATGGACCGATCTGCGTCGACGGTGAATATAGCTGTCGAATGGAACATGAGTTGTACCATATATTATCGGACATCGATACAGCCAACGGTATCAATCTGCAGCGACTACGATGCGACTATGTTAGGTCATGTTGTGAGAATGATGAGTATGTCCCAACTCATAGGACATATAAAAGTGAGCCAACTGATGGTTCACGCAGAAGGGGAAGACAACATTTCGGAACAAGGTCTTTCAAATTGGAAGAGAAGTTTTTAAGCTCGTTTTATGGAACAAATGTTCTGTCACAAGCCAGCTAAGTTGTGTTTAGCTCATAAATAGGGTCTGCTATAGTTTAAGGTCTAGTAGCCAGAGCTTTACTTTTATACACTAACTATTTACCCCTGAAGGACATAGACCCGAGAAATTGATAATATATTCAAGCGGAGTGCTTGACGTTTAATATTAGTTATATTTGTTGACCTCTAGTCGTTCAAGAGGGTTCAAATGTTGCGAAATATTGCCCAAGCTCGGAATGTAGTACCACAGAAACTTAGATTTTCGTGGAGGTTGTGTAGGGTCGGCCCCGTCCGAATATACTCCTCCGCTCACTGGTTTATGTATAAAAAGAAATCAAAAAGTATGGTATGTAGAGAGAGTAGAAAAACAGACAACAAATATCGATCTTGTAATATTTCCTGATGTTCGAATTATAATTGTATGAGCAGAAAAAAAAAACAAAGAAAAAATAACTAATACATTTACAGCTTTGCTCAACCAAGTATTTTAAATAGGACTGTATAATGTCAGAAGATAGTACTTATCGGTTCACTCCTTCTAGTCAAGGGTCAATATTTCGAAAATTGTATATCTCACATGCATAGATGACTGGTATAATATGTTAATTTATGGCTAATAAACAGAGACATGAATTGAAGTTACTGGTTTTTATTTCAGTTTCTTTTTTCCCACATAATAGTTTTCAAATAATTTCATCGTGGAAAGATACAGCCTTTTTATTTGCTTAACTATTATAATGTTGATGCGTTTTTTTTTTTCTACTTGGGGTATCAATGTGTGTGTGTTTGAATATAACCTACTATGAAATAAATAAATAAGCTCTCCTAAACACGGACTCGGTGGAAAAAAATGAAAACAATTTGTAAACATCCATAAACTTGAAAATAACAAAAACTATTAACTGAAAGCCTCACACATACATACACACACATACGTCATTTAATGAAGAGGCTCGTATGAAAGAAAGTGGGAAGGTGGATTTCAGATAATTTAGGTTGTTTAACTTGGTGAGACAGAAAACGTTATTGAAACCTTATTCCTGGGAAAATACTGCTCCAAAAAATGTATTAAGTCTTACGAATGATATTTAAAATCTATTCAAAGAGAAATTTGTGAAAAATTGCTTCAAGATTCGATGTATTGTTTGACTGAAATTTAAAATAAAATAATCCTACAAATTTCGGTAGCACTGGACGCACTGTAGCGAATGAGTGATGGTGTTGTAATAAACAAATCAATCACACGTCACCTAGTCCTTTAATGAATGCTTTCCTATAATTAACAAAAATGATTTATTAATAACCAAATTATCATACACACGTATTATTTTGCATCCACAAGTCTTATGTTTCATTTTTCACAGCGAGGTAAATAAAAATGTGCTAGATGTTTGTGTAGAGCATGCCTAATTTTCATTGAGAAAAAAATATACCCAAGCCCACCATTAAAACATTTCCAGCTCTTTGCCATGCCAATGAAAGAGTTTTTTCCCACACTGTATTTTGTTTTTCTTTTTCCTAAAAGTTCGCTGTCAGTCAGTCAGTCAGTCAGTTTGTTTGGCAACATTAACATTATCATGCCTGTCCCTACAACACAGAGACACAGAGATTACATGTAGCAACGACGAGCAAGTTGAGGTGTTGTATCTAATGTTTAATTTTCATAGAGGGGTTCCAAGTCCTTTGAGTTGATTTTGGGAGGTGGGGGGTGTAGTTTGGGCCTATTTTTTATGCGGTTGTTTTTTGCTTCTACTGTGGCTAGCAGTGGCATAGACGCTACGTTGTTTTACGTTTATGTTAATGGGTGGTAAATTGACTTGCCCATTCAGTTTGCTTTTCAGGTTTTCTCTTTTATTGGTAAGCGTGTTTGTTTGTCTTTTCAATGGTGATGCTGGTTGTTGTTGGTATGTTTCTGTTCTATTTTATTCATTTTTTCTTCTTCATCATATTCTGTACTTACCCGTTGGCTGCTGCTGCGGATGTTGTTGCTGTAGTTGTGAATTTATAGAATTTCGGGGCTTGACTTTGGAGCACATGGAGAACATAATGGCTTCTGGCTGGCTGGCTGACTGTTTGGCTGATGCTGTTTCTGCTGTTGTATTTCACTTAAGGGGTTCCGACTTTTGTTTGTTTGTTCGATTTTTTCTCTGTTCACTTTGTGTTATTGTTGTTGTGTCTTTATTTGTTTGGATTTCTATATTTTCTTTTCTTGGTATAAAATTGATGAGGTTTTTCTTCTTTTTTTTTTGTTTAAATTATTTTCAATGTGTTATTTTTCTTCTTGCTTCTTATCCTTAATCTTCTTCCAAGGAGCAAATATTTTTCTCTGTAAATGTTTGTGGGTGAGTGAGGGAGTGTGAGTGTGTGTGTGTTTATTGAAGAAGAATACCAAACAAATAAACAAGAAATAAAGAGTTAGTCTGTGGCAAACAAGTGATGTCACCATTTTGAAATATATACCACAACGTTGACGACGATGGACACGAGACCGAGGACGGCGACGTTGAAAGTATTCTCTTAAAACCACAAAATATCTGAAAGCACTTGACGAAAAACATGTTGTGTCTGTTTTGTATTGAAATCTCGGTTAATATTTTGCGTTCATAAACGTTTTTCAATTTACAGTTATTGACAAAGTACCCAGTTTAAAGTTTTAATACTTTCGTTAAATTCAATGTTTATTTTTGGTTGTTGATTGCATTCGTTTTTATTATTTGCATTGTCCCATAAAGTTGTTTTTGATAATATCTCCTTATATGTAACTGAATTTATCTTTAAATATACATTTTTCCACAAACTGTCTTGATGAACGTCTTGTAATTGTTGTTCCCAAAAGTTTGTAACACCACGAACAAAATTGGTCGTGGAACCAGCTTTATGTATACGTAGCATATCTCTACTAGTTGAAACAATTAGCTATGTCCTGCCGACTGTCCATTATAACTTGGAATCAAAGTACAGACAGTCGGTTCTGCTAAGACACTAAATGAAATCAGGTGAGCTATACAAAATTTCAAGTCAACTGGGCAGACTTGGAGGCCTTGGTATACCATTTGTATGAAATCAAATAGAATTATTTATGAAAGCTATATGTAAATATACAGCAGCGTTCAGAAGCCAGTGAATTTTTGAACACTTTCTACGTCATAAAAATAAAAAAAAAAATCTAATTTAAAATAGTTTGTTGTGTAAATCTTCAATTTCTAAAAAAAATAAAGAAAACAAAAAACACGTTTGAAAAAAATTGCGGAATATTTTTAGTAACTATATTGAAGTTGTAACTATGATAAGGTGTCATTTATACAATTTGGCATACTTCCAACCAATTTCAGTGCAATTTAATTTTGAAATATATTATTAATAGCCTCAGATCCGCTGACAAATTTCGACTAAATTATCAGGGGCTGAATGGTACTGTCCCATCTGCCCTCGATCACCGACTAACAGGTTTGAGGAATACAAAATAAGCATATTATTGTGTTAAAACGTATCCATCTACATTTCCCTTAGACGTGAGTTCATACAACTTAGAAGCGTTTACGCCCTCTTTTTTGAGGTTAGGGAACAACGGAACACCGTTTTTTATCCGTTTTTATGTTCCAAAGTAGAACAGTATATTTCACTTAATATGCGGATGGTCACTTCGGGGGATTTTAATGATTTCTTTGTGATTTGTTACTGCTAGGTGTTTTTTTTATTTTTGTTCAAAACTTTGCACAATGTTTTTAATAAACGAGATTGAAATAAATTATAACTTATGTTTTCGTAAAAAAGAACTAATAAAAACTAAAGAATATGTAAAAACGTGTAATTTTCCATGTTTTTTTCTTCAAATAATACACAACATGCAAACGGGCGAAAGTGAGTGCATACGCCACTGTACACTCGCCACTGTATATGGTAGCAATATCTAAATATGAATCTATTTAATCTATTTGGCTTGATATTTGATTAACAAGTCTTCAAAAAGTTGATGCTTTGTGGGGGAGGTACTAGATATGGCTAGATGGTTAAAATATTAGTTTGTGCGAATTTCAGTTCAAATCGGAAAGTCTGTTCCATTGATATTATAAATTCATTTATTCCATTTCATTGATATTATATCAAGGCGATCGAGCCCATTAATGATGAGAATTACAATGTACATGGTATACAATTAACTTTACCTTAAAGGATAAAACTACTCCACAATTTATTGTATATTTTGTCGATTGGTACCAACGTTGCCAAATTAAATGTTTATGAAGTATTTGATTGAAATAAGTGTAAGCCCGTGTCAAACACTTTTATGTCAAAGTGTGCAATCTTAATTTGAAATGCTAATTTTGTTCAATGCCACTGTCTTCATGAAATTTTCCACTTCAGAGATGTTTGCATTTTGTTTTTAAGTTTTTGCTTGACAAAAACTAAGGGCTTCTTATAAACGACCTCCTTATTATATATCAAACTATATATATACATGTCTCGTCACGTTGTCAAAGGATATACATGATGAGACAAACACAATCACACTATCCCCCACACACACACTCGCACACCATTTATTACATATGGACACATGGCCCTGTAGTGGCACTTCATTCACTAACAACACTTCAACACTAATGTTTTCGTATTCAGATTCGTATACGCATCGTGTAGTTTGTATTCAGATTCGTTCGCCTTTGCCATGTCTACCCTGGTTTCCTTTTTTCTAATTGGAGACATTATGGCAATTAGTTTTGCTTGGGGGACGAAGATGACACACGCCTATTGGCACTTTGGCCAGAACTTAAGATTTCAAACAGGTGTGTCCAAGCGACACTCACAAGCTTTTTTCTCTTACTCAAATATACAAAGATGAAAAGACTTTAGGTTTGCCGTTTTTTTAAAGTGAAGCTTTGGCCATTTCCTCCTTGCCTTGGTAAGGTGTGGAATGGTGGTGGACGTCTTTTGTAGCCCTTAAATATTTGATGAATTTTACACCTTGACATTCTAGGACAGCGGCGGACAGATTCTCCTCCATAGTTTGTTGGGTGCCTATTTGCCATCGGATTATGGTGAATTAAAGATTAATGGTTGTTGACAAATTGTGATAGTCATTGTTTACGGCGACATTTTCTTTAAGATGGAGATGGATTTTGAGAATTTCAATTAAGAATGTTTAAAGTAATTAACACCCTGGTAAGTGAGTTATCTGTCGTTTCTGTCATTCCGCTCCTAGTCAATGAAAATGACAATGTGTGGGAGCCGTGTACAGGAAGGGAAGCTATGACGTTAACACTAGCCATTTATTTTTGTATTTGTAGGCGTTGGTATAACAGTGACATTGTACGTTTCCCAATTCGAAGTTTATAAGCAGAGCTGGAGATGGTTGGGAACTTTGACATGCCAAAAATATAATAAAGTTGTACTAGAGTTAATAATGGCCACATAAGATTGTGTGTTTGTGAGCCCAGGAATATGACAAACTTCACAAGGAAATATCAATTAAATACATACATATAGCATACACTTTTAACGTCATCATCAAAAGACGTAGTTCAATCAATGTTGGTATCAGAAATATTGATTTCGATTTTATTGAGTTCAATATAGAGAATAATTATTGATTGTCAACATTCCGCAATATCATTATTTTCACAATATTGCACTGTGTGTCATATACATACATACATACACATTGTGCATACTGGGTTTTTTTTTACAAGAATCGTGACTCTTTTGACATGAACTTCTTTCAATCTAATAGACGAAAATCTAAACAGACTGGCTTATAAATATTCCAGGGAGTCTGTCTTTGTCCTCTTGTTTTTTTTTTTTTTTTTTGTTTTTTGCTACATAACGTCTGACTGTGTATTGTCTCGTCCTGCTGAGCCTTACTGATGGCCATGCTGATGATAGGTTCAAAGTTGTGTGTAGTCGTTGATGTCTGACAACGGTTGATTCGGCCTGGTCTCGTCTCTTTTTTCATTCATTGTCAAAAAACACGTTGATGGCTGGCTCTTTGTTTTCGAGGTATCCTCTTCCGTTTGTTATTGCCACAAAGCGGCTAAAATAACCAACAAATCACTCTAAGTGCCTCAACAACAACAGAGACCGAAAAGCAAAAGTTTTTCCCAATTTTTTGCTTTCGTTTCCTTCCTTCCTTTTAATGTTCCCCACCGTTCATTCTTTTTTCGTTTTTGTGTATTAACAACAATTTAGCCTATTGTCGGTCTTTGTATTAGGGCGAAGATGAGAGTCTGTGGACGTTATTGTTTTTGTAGCGTAATGAAGTGTTCTTTCGCAAGAAGACAACAAACATCAAACTGAGGCTGTTGATGCTGCTGCGGCTGCTACTCGACAAAAAACAGAGGTAGGTGGCAAACAGGAGGTTTGTTGTGAGCCTTACTGAAGCCACCTAAAACACTAAGGAGAACTTTTAATTGGATTTTTTGTGTTGTTTCTTGAATTTTGTCAGTCTTTTTTTTGCAATTCGCTTGGATTCTTTTTTGTTTCAACTTTTTTGTCGGTTGACGTTTCACCGCAATCAACGGCCAAAGTTAATGAATTTGGCCAAATTATTTTCTCTTAACGAGTAAATGTGCAGACACATACACACACATACACAGTGCGATGAGTGTGGTTTTAAGGCGTCCTTTCGTTTCCTTTGCACACCGAAATAGATCATATGTTTTGTGGTTCAAAGTCTTAGGGTTAATCGCGTAGAAGTTCGTTAGGATGTCGGCTTCTAATCAAGCGGAAAATTAAAAATTGTTTTTAAATTGAGAAACTTTTCAGTTTTTGTGCGTTTTTTTCTAAAGTTCAAATTGTGCATTGAAAACTGATTTCATAGAAATTTGTTTTTCTTTTCTTATTATTGGTGTTTTTTCTCTTCTTCTTTTTTGATTTTTGTTCAATGTTTTGATTTTTATGAATTTTGTCTGGCGAACATTTCTAGGGATTTTTGTACACACCTCAGTTTAAGTTAACGGCCGAGACTCAACTGAATGGAAACTGTAAAAAATGTGACTTGTAGACGATGACAACGACGACTAGACGACAACAGCTGCGTCTCGGTGTGAGTGCGCGCTCGTTAGAGATGTTTGTCTGATACTCCT